TATATATATATCCAGTTTGATTAACACATATAGTCCCCATTTAGTCGGTGTACCTGCACAAAAAAGTAAAATAAAAAATAAAATAAAAACCAAAAACCAAAACAAATACATTTCATTACCTGCACAAAAAAGTAAAATAAAAAATAAAATAAAAACAAAAAACCAAAACAAATACATTTCATTCCAAATCATTACACTTCCCTCTAGTCAGTAACGAACCTTGGAAGAGGCTACATGTTAGAGTGGCATTATTTTCTGGATCAGGGTTTTTAAAAGTTGGGTCTGCAGAGGAACAGTGGTGTTTTGGGGGTCTGTGGGGAAAGAAAAAATATATTTTACATATTTATGTAAAATACATATTTTAAAATATATGTAAAGTACATACAAGATGCAGAAAAATTAATGTTTTTTTAACAAAACAAATATTTTCCACGTAATACAAATAATTTTCTAATGACTATATAAAAGTTAGTTATTGAAATAAACTAAATGTCTTGCCTTCATTAGAGACACACTTTCATGTTGTCCAGTGGAACAACACAAATTGGAACCAGTCACCTGTCTCTGATATACAAAGATTTGCAGTAGAAATTTACTTTGATATATTAAAAGTTATATGTTGATTGCACTCATGCTGCTATTGTAATCTATCTTTTATTTTAACTCTTCAACTCTTTGATTCTTGTCATATTATTTCACTCATTTTCACCAGGAGCTCATTGTAGCACGCCACATGCTGTTACAGTAATCAGCATGGGGGAACACATTTGTTAATGTCTTCTGCTGGCCTATATAAAATATGCACATGCAATTGCAAACATACTGTACGTTTGATCTTGTAAGACAAAGAAAAATCACTTTACACATGCAGTGCGACCCCTGAAAAGCGGTTTGAAAGTCAGTGACACAGGCATGTCAAAGCTGTTTAGCTCTCCTTAATGCATGCACCCCGTTGAGATAAACGCCTATTTCTGCCCACAGACGTGGGGGAAATCCGTAAAGGGCCTGAAGAGAGTGAAAGCACAAGAGTGAGAGCTGCCGAGGTCTACCATTGAGGGGAAAAAAATGAAGCAGGAGGTGATCGACTCTACAGCTAACTTGAAGACATCATCTTTATAGCACATGATATGATGACTGAATGGCTCATACTGTATGACACACATTAAATTACCATTAGCGGAGAAAACAACCTAGAATGACTCTTTTTTTTTTTTTCTCGAGTCTGCTGCTATATTATTCAATTCACTTTTGCCTCCACAGTGAAAGGTGACAAATGCCTGGAGTTTTAAAACCAGCCATAATACCATACTTTAGCATCATATACCATCATCAGTTTGTGCCCAGAAAACCTTTTTGTTTCTTGGAGGAACAGAGCAGAAAAGCAGTGAAACCCCAAGGCCTCTGTTCTGATCTGTACTTCATGTATTGTTTATTACAGCCACATTCGTTTGAACAGATTCAGTTGACTGGTCTTGGAGAGGATGACGTCTAACACTGCAGCGACAGCAGTCTAATGAGCGATTTGAAACAGATTCTTTGATTTTTCACCACTCTGAATGTGTCTGCAGAGGTCGGGATGTGTTTTGTTTTCAGTTCTTGTTTTTCCTCCTTTATTTTCTGACTCAAAGCTTGGCCTCTGAGTTAGTCTGAAAGCTTTGGTCAAAGGCTATTCCTTTGAATGTTGTTCCATTGCTTTTTTCTTCCGCCTTTTCTCTAGGATATGTTTTTACCAAGGTGTTTGGACGTACTGCAATTAGGGTCCTGTCCCCAGGTAATGTAAACCTTTGATAATTCACTCTGTGCCTTGTGATAGGCCCTGTGCCTCAGGCCTTGTGCTCTAATTAAAGAAAAACTAAATTTGCATTTGCTTGTCTTTTATGTGTGTGCATTTGGGAGGTTGCATACTGTAGAATTTCCAAGGATCGATGTGTAATAGATTCAAGAGCGCACTAAAGTAGTCTAAATACAAAGATGCGAAAGGTTTACATTTGGTCTGCATCTGTCAGATGAGCTTAAAATTGAGTGCTGAGAACAAAAGAAAGTTTCGGTTGTCTGCAGTTTTCAATACTTTCCCCCCTTCTCTCACATTCAAATCTCTGTGCATCACTCCTTTTCAATTTAGACTTATAATTTACAGTAGGTCTGTGTAAAATTAACACCCTGTTGCATTAACAAGAGGGTTTGCATCAAAACTCCAAATTTGCACTGAACTGATTCTGTTACTATAGAAAGAAACAAAACAGGCTTTAATTACTTCCTCGGGTATTTAGATTGATATGAATATTCATGCTGTGTGTCACTGATCATAGGACTAAATTCAAACTTGTCAAACAACAGGAAGACACAAAGTAATCCTCATAAACCTTTTAAAAACAGTGCATAAAACCTGAATTCATGTGAACACGTTTCAGCTGAAATAGAAGGCATATATTGTATAACTGTCAAAGAGGCTCATACAAATATTTATATTTACATTTAAGCACTTTTCTGATAAACCCTGAGCTGATGAGAGTGAGTGAATTGATTCATCTTTATCCGATACTCTTGTTCAAAGACCTGTATCAAATGACTGAATAAGATAAGGGTTACATCACTGCCTTCAAAGACACACTGTAAAACCTATTTAGTTAAATTATAATTTATAAAATTATATTGCCAAAATTAAGAAAATTAAATCATTAAACCATTTATAATCTTAACATGACAGTTCATGCAAAATGAAAATTTTGTCATTTACTCACTCTCATGTTCAAGATGTGTTATTTTCATCTTTCTGTGGAACAAAAAAAAGAGAATGTTTTTCAGAAATGTGGTGAAATGCATCTTGGATCTGCACAAAGCTGAATGAGATGTGAGAGCTGTGGCAGAGGGAATTTAGCAAAGATTCAAAAACAATGAATATAGAGCAAACAAAATCATACAAATTTGAGGGTGAGTAAATGACAATTTTTATTATTGGGCAAAATATTTTTTTTAATTATTTCAAAATGCAACTAACTGTATGTTAGCAAATTAACTAGGCTTTAAAGACTTAGTTAAAGGAAGGAGAAAATGCTGCATATATGTCATGTTATTGATGTCAATGGCTGTGCGTCCGATCAAACATGACTTATTCTTTGGTGCAAATTCACCTGACAATAGCCTAGCCAGATGTCAACATGCACATATAGTGTATAATGTTCCATCATCCTCAAAACAAACAAATCCTCACAAGGTAACACAACCCACAGTGAATTAAGGCTGGCCGCACACTAGACGATTTTCAAATCTAAAGCCATAATTTTAAAGCCATGGGAGACACACACACATGAAGGCAGTTCAACCGATGTTTAGCCTTATAATCCTCTGAACACACACACTAAACGATTCGACCAGACCGCGAGACCACACACTTGTTGATTGTAAGAACGATTTCACAGTGACATGAGATCTTACGGACGCTCGTATGATGAAACGTGACTAGAGAAGAAAAACAAATAGAGGACAATCAACGTTGTCAGCTGGCTCTCCTGGCGTGCGTTCTGTTTCACAGTGAAAAACAAAGTATAAAAAAGAATATGGGTGATGTTCTCTGCTTTCATGTTTGTGGCTGCCAAGTTTCAGCTATAGAAGCAGGCAACATCCGGTAAGTGACGCTTGCTCGCTCTCATTGGCTATCGTGGGTATCACGTCAGAGGCAGCCCGATCAAGAGTGTAAATATCAAACATGTTTTATACTTACGATTTGAGTTCGGGGACGCTCCGTCTCGATCGGGAGCAGATAAATAATCGTAATAACACAGTAAAGGATTTTTTTGGACAAAAAATTGTTTGCGACAAGCCGCGAATCAGGCCACACCCCCCAACCTCCCGATCATTCGGGGATGCAAATTGGGCTTAAAATCGGCCTTAAAATCGTCTAGTGTGCGGCCAGCCTAACTTTCTGGTTACAGCATTTTTGATGGCAAAATTCTCAATATTACCTCATAATATATTATCTTAATAATATGAGATTCGTTAGAAAAAAAAATCGCTAAGCACAGATTAACTTTAATTAATGATTTAATGATTTGACCAATTAATGATTTAATGAGACATCTGTTGCTGAGTGTGTAATTTTTCATGTATTTCTTTCAATTTAAAAATACCTCCTTTTCTAGGTTAATATTATATAAATTTATATATGTAATTATATAAATATAGAACAACTACAAGCAAGCTATTTGTAGATTTAAGCAACACTGTCTCAACCAATGGTGTGCGTTTGAGGTTAGGGTTAGGTGTTAATTTTGTCAGCCATTTTTAAATTTAATCTTAGTCTTTTAAATTAGCCTTAGTCTTAGTCCTGTGTTAAATGTTTTAGTTATTATTAGAGATGCACCAATTGCAATTTCCGATTTTTTGTTAGTGTGATCTGCCGATACCGATTTTTGCCGATTCCGATTTTCTTTCTAAGAACTATAATTGACAGCATATACAAACAAAAATCTACTTTTCTTCAACGCAAAGTTTTATTTTCATAAAAAAACATAAGTAAAAGGTCAGTAATAAAATAAGATCAAATAAAAAAATTGCAAACAACAGCACAAATAAATGCAATAGAATAAAGAGAGCTATGAAACTAAGTTTTTCAGGTTAAGTAAGTTTTTATTCAGGTAAGAAATACTACAGAAATTAAAGTAATCAAATTTAAAATAACACATCCAGTGTTATTTTACATTTGATTGCTTTAATTTCTGTAGTCTTCATTGTAAAAATTAAATACAGATTAATGCTTACCATTAAAATTATAAAACGTATTCAGTCAAGAGCAGAAAATGATTTTCTTTGTCTTTTGTTCTTTGATGAACATGACACAGCAGCATAAATATTGGACTGCGGTCCCTTTAAGAGTTTATCCACGGACCCAATATACTGTTACACAACATGCGTTCTCTCTCAACAATTTAACGTTCCAAAACTGACTGTGTTTAACTGGATACTCGCCAAAACGGGCATTTTGACA